CATTAAAAATAAATGGACATGTCATGCCAGTAAAGTGGTCATAAAGTGCAAATTCTGAATTTTTATGAGTTTACTAGCCTACTTGCAAGTACATTTAATAAATAGCAATATTTCAGAGTAATAGAAAAATGTCCAGCTAGAGTGGGAGATTTTTATCATATCTCTCTCAAGAAGTGATAGTAACAAAGAGGAGAGAAAAACTTAGTAGGAGTAAAGAAAAACAATCTGACCTAATTAAAATAATATGGACTACTACATACAACAACAATAGAATACGCCTTTCATGTGCACATACAGATTTAAAAAAAATCAAAAAATATCTATGGATAGAAATCAAACAGGGTATTATACACATGGACATTTCTTAGCAGTAAAGTGGTCAGGAAGATACACGAATTATAAATTTTTATGAATCAACTAGCCTACTTGTAAGCTACAGAACTAACATTGGAGAACACTGCATATTTTATTATTTCTGTCACAGTCCTTTCTATCAGTAAAACATAAACTTTTGTATATACATGTACATACAATTATTTCGAGCCTCAGTCACTACCATGCCACTAGATACTGTGTTCTACTTACATAACAAACTTCTTTGGTTTCCCCAAATCCTAAAATATCAGAACAACAGGAGAATTTAAAAACCAATCATTTTATTTCCTTTTTTAAAAGGGCCCTCCCTCGTGGCACAACAGGTTAAAGCCACTGCAGCTCAAGTTCAATCCCCGGCCAGGGAGGTGACCCACATGGCACAGCAGACCTCTCCTGATCCACCCACTGCATCCCTCAGCAGTGTATTTCAGTAGATCTGCCTGTTCTGCCCTGTCTCTGGTGAATCCTCTCACCAACCCTGCACCTCTGGCCTGTACCCCAGTTCTGTATGCATAAATAAATAAATCTTAAAAAAAAAAGGAATTATAACATTTTTAAAAATAATTTTTTAAAGATGTATTTATTTATTCTTATGGAACTGGGGCACAGGCCAGAGGTGTGGTAGGTGAGAGGGTTCACCAAAGACAGGGCAGAACAGGCAGATCTACTGAAATACACTGCTGAGGGATGCAGTGGGTGGATCAGGAGAGGTCTGCTGTGCCATGTGGGTCACCTCCCTGGCTGGGAGGTTTTGTGGGTAGACGCAGTAAGCAAGTAGAAGAGTAGCAAGCCTCCCATCTGACGCACTTCCCAGGGCCTCTCTATGCTTGGATGTGCCTGTGGGAGGTCCGGGGAATATTAGAAGTGTTGCAGGCTTCTCTGTGGTTGGGCCTGTGGCAAATCCAGTCTAACCAGTTTTGGTTTTTTTCCCCCTTTTACCTCCTGAGCTCCTGGAGCCTCTCTCAAAGGACAGCACCTTAATGGCTGCAAGACCTCAGGCCTCTGCAGTGGGGGTGGGGGGTGGGGGGATCATTTTCCAGAATCACCAGATGGGCTACAAGCCTCCCAGCTGCTCCAGTGCCAGTTCTCCCTCCCCACCTCCAGGGCTCTGTGCATCTACCACAAGCATTCTTTCCCCAAAGCTTGGGTCCCACTTACAGAGCTGAGTTGTCTTTCTTTACCTCCAGGGCTTTAGCAGGCAGAAGAGCTGCAAACCTCCCAACTGAGGTACTTCCTAGCACCTGGGTGCTCCCAGATCAGAGCTCCCCTATCAGAGCTCCTCAATTGCTGAGTCTCCCTCAGTTATCTTCCATCTAGTGAGTCCAGGGTGCCCTCATTTGGGTTGAAACTCATAGTATGGCTTATACTCCGGTGTGAGGTTGAAACAGTGAGTTCAGTGTCTTCTCTCTGCCGCCATTCTTGCCGGAACTCTAGACCAATCACTTTAACATCCTCATTTTACATTGTGAAAATCAAGATCTTCAGAGGCAAGTGACTCAACCAGTGTTGTCCAGCAGTTCATTGAGAATAAACATGTGAATTAGAAGCATAAATAGCTTAAGAAAGCTGACTAAGACTTCACAGAGAGATCATCTAAATGCTAAATTTCCAAACTAAAAAGACAGCTTTCTAACAGAACACTTTTATTGTTTACTCTTTCTAGAGTATTAATTAGTATATAACTTATTAACAGAAAGAAAAGGAGGAAAAATTATCTCTCAAATAAGTTTTTTGACATTATAGTATAGATTTAGAACCAACAAATTGCCATTTTACTTTATTTTAAACAACCTTAGCATTTACTTTTTCCATAGAAGTTAAAACAGTTTAATTTAAAATATGTTAACAGGCAAATCATATTCCACGTGTACTGAAATCCCATAGAAAGAACATTTTAAGAACATAGTTCTCAGAATGCTCATCTAAAATTTGTAATGTTCCCATCAGAATTGGGAATGATTTTTGATAACAAAGAACTTTGTTAAACTCTTTAATTAAAGACATAAGTAGGATGTGTGCATAGCATTGTGTGGGTACATTAGAACAATAGCATGCTTTCCAAGACTTTTTAACTGGAGTTCAACATATGTAGCCTATACTACATCATGAAAGATTCTAGAAAGAGTAAACAATAAAAGAGTTCTGTGAAGAAAAGCTGAGAGAGTATATATAAGTCTAGAGTGGAAAAGGAAAGATTTAGCTTTCCTCTTTTTCTTGGCTGCTGGAAACATAAATAGAAGTCTTGTGGTGAAAGAATACAGGATGCAGGCTGGATGTTTATTGGAGAACTGAGTGGCAACACTCTGATTCTCCATGAAAGCAATGCAGAGCAGAAATGACATCTCATGATTTTTACTCTCCCTTAAGCTGTACAGGGGCAACTGCCATGACCTATTTTCACAATGATACCTTATATGGAAGATAACTGTTACTTCATTTGTGGAGGTTACAGCTACTTCCCATTTCGCAGCTTAACTCTTTGACTAAGCATGATAGTCTAGAACTGGTATAAACATTGCCATCATTAATAAGTTGTATTAAAATAGTGAGAAGTAGCATCAAGTGTCAGGAGTCTGGGCACCATATTTGGATTCTCCCACTTATTACCCAAATAACATTGACAAATCTTGGCTTTCTCATCTATCAGAGGGGATAAAAGTAACAATACCCCCATATAAAAATTGTTAGCATTCAGTGGGTTATTGTTGATTATGTACTTTTGAACAGAATCTGAGTTACAGTTAACAATCAGCAGATGTTAGCTATTAGTGTTATATTTCATAAAGTAATTATTTTATTATGTTTTATTATATTTTATAAAGGGAATGACTTGCAAAGTAAAGTTTAATTACAGGGTGGAACTTTACATTTTATTTAAATTCACATATATTTCATTTTTTTTTAAAGATTTAGTTATTTATGCGTACAGAACTGGGATATAGGCCAGAGGTGCAGGGGAGGTGAGAGTATTCACCAGAGACAGAGTAAGGAGCAGAACAGGCAGACTGATGGGGTACACTGCTGAGGGGAGGAGCAGACGGGTCAGAAGAGGCCTGCCACACCATGTGGGTCACCTCTGGGGCTGGGATTGAACTCATGCTGACGTGGCTTTAGCTTCTTAGTGCTGTGCTTTAACCCACTGCACCATTTTATGTTTTTTTAAGCATGGTTAGCCTGCATTGTAAAATAAATGTGGGGATAGAAAGGAAAATTTCCCTCTATTTTTCCTAGGAAATTTTCCTGTAGGTTCTTCCTGAACTGGTTGAGCAATCAACTTAATATCATACAGATTAGTAGATGAAAAGAACAAATTTAATTTGTTTAAAGAACAAATTCAATTATAATACATATGGAAAATCTACATGGATATAGATGCTAAAGCTACAGGACTAATTATAGGGAGGCATAGGGTTTCAACAAGAGTGAAGGGTACTCATATAATAAGAGGCCAACTCATATGACAAAGACTAGATGCTCTGTAATTAGATTTTTCCTTGCCATATAGTTATGTTTCTCCAATACAAAGGTAATTTCTGATAAAAATTCTAATTCTGGGTTCAACCATAATTTTCATTCTTCTAAGTAGTAAAGGGAGTCATAGAGTTTCTTGTGAACCTACAGGGTCTCGATTGACCTTAACTTGAAATAATTTATATGCCAAAGTGACACATATTGGAACAGCTTGTCCTGGAGATCTTAGGAAGGTTTATCTGAACATCTTAAGGAGGCCTATCCTTCAGTCTTTCTCTAAATAAATAAATACATACATTTATAATATATTTGAAGTAATTATTCTATTACTTTATAATATAGCTTCTGTAAATATAAATATGTATGTATTACATGTAATATATTTTGCTTATATATATATATATTTGTAGTAATAGTACTGTTAAAGCATAAAGGAAGTTAACTGGAGTAGAATTCTCAATGATAGTTAGACAAAGAGTTTACTAGGTAATCAAAGTGAGAATCTGAACTTCAAAAGCCATCATGTAGATTTTACTCTGTAAGAGCTGTTTTCGACAATCAAGGATCTTAATTTAGTTGATAAAGGTAGAAATAGTGAGTCATTGACATTAAAAAAATGCTATTTTTAACCCGCAGGGATTACAATTGGGATGAAAAAAAAAAATGTACAAAATGGTGTAAAAATAAACTGTTATAAAATAAAAGAAAAAAATGCTATTTTTCTTCACAAGTGACTTCTAGTTCTAACCTGTTTTTAGCTAGAGATATGGTGATGCTATCTATGTACAGGTGATGTTATCTAAGGCAATGCGGAGGATTTAATCTCTTCCATTCTAAGGAATGCACTGTTGGGATCCAAAGGCTACAAAGCAATTGTTTAAATCTTCATTCAACTTTTGATCATCAGTGGGAGGTTGAAAAGGCCGGCTTTATCCACAGGCAATAGGTTTTGCATAGCTGTTTCACAGACTTCAAGTCTATGCAAAGCTGGTTTTTCTCTCTTGTCTGCTAGAGCAAGGAGAGAGGTTGTTGTGGGTTTTTTGTTGTTGTTGTTTTCAGAACATTTCCCCAGCATGTTCACACAGGTGAAATTGCATAGTAATTATTACTGATATTTACTAAAAATAATTTAAAGTATTTGTCTTTTTATTTAGGACTGGAAAAGCTTGCCCAAAAAGGGAAATCGTTGTCCCCTTTAGCAAGTATAACTGGAATATCACTATTTTTGATTATATCTATGTGTCTTCTCTTCCTCTGGAAAAAGTATCAACCCTACAAAGGTAAATTAAAAATAGAGAAAAAAAATTAATGATATGTGTACAAAAATGTACCTTATTGTGTTTTTTTCTCTTGGTTTTAGTTATAAAGAAGAAGCTAGACGGCAGGTAATATATATAGAAGTAATGTCTTTCTTGAGTGCTTTTTTCTCAATTGTTATCACTGATGGAAATGCTTATTTGTCTTTTCAGGCCAGAAACAGAATACAAGAAAACGCAAACATTTTCAGGTAGCAACCAGGATCATTGTCAAAGTTAATAAATGTTATTAATGTTAATGTATATTGATTATACAGTTGATGTTATATATATATATATATAATGTAATATTCATAGATACAGATGAGAATTCATATGAGTTAATATTCGTATGTACTATTCCCTTACCTTTAAATAGTGTTTTCACATTACAAATTACTCTTCCTTGGTTTTATGTAAGTCCATAGTGTGTAAGAAATGCCTGAAAGTCACTCTTAACTCCATTTTACAGGCAAGAGAACTAAGGCTCAGAGAGATTAAGTCACTTGACCACCATCACTGAGCTCTGCTGAATCCTAATCCACTGAAACCATCATTATTTTGAAAATACCCATGAGTTCTCTTACTTTCAATTCCTACAGCAGATACACTGAAATCAATTTTATGTCAGGCTGAAGAGGAAAGGGAGATTTGACAATTTGCTGCTTCTCATGTGCCCCTCATTGCGATCACAACTCACACCTTAATGAGTTGTTATTAAGACAACAGGGGACTTTTACTCCCTTGCAGTCACATGGAGCTGGATTTTGGTGACTATATTTGATTGTCCTCCATGTAACCTTGGGAAACTTAGTTATATTTCCTGACCTCAACTTCCTCATCTATATAAGAGAGATAATAACTTGCCCCCAGGGTTGCTATGAGAATTAGATACCAGGATATATAGATACATGTATGCCTAACATGATAGTTGCATCTGAATAAACCTGTGTCTTCTTCCTGTTACTTTGTCCTTTCTCACTTACAAATAAGACTGTCCCAGCTATGAGGGGTCAGAGAGACCATCTGGTTCCTCCCAGCAACCTTAGTCCTATTATTTTATAGATGATAGCTTAGTTGATACTAATATTGTATTATATCTTGTATGTGTCACAGCTATCAGCATCCCAGACTGAATGCTTAGTGTCTATAAAGTTTCTGGTGACTGAGACTTACAAATGACAGCCCTGCCATGTGTGTTATTTTGAATGTATGAGACAGCTGGTCCTATGTCAGGCTTTAAGAATAATTGTCCCAATTCACTTTCAATTCTCATTTTCAGAAAGAGTGATTTCCAACACCAATTAATGGGTTTGGACTATATAGTGTATGACTATAGAGGATTAGGAAGGCTGAATTGGTGTGACACAGGTACCATTTGAGCAAATAACAAAGCAAAGTTTTATAAAGATTTTTAAAAATCAACATTAGCAATTTAAGGCATTTGTTTTGTAAGTTATCCTTATTTTCCATTTCAGGCCATGAAGATGCTCTGGATGACTTTGGAATATATGAATTTGTTGCTTTTCCAGATGCTTCTGGTGTTCCCAGGGTTGGTTTTCCAAGGACAAATTAGCAAGTAGATTCACCAAGGGCTGGAAACAGCTTTCCTTTAAGCACTTGGGCAGAGTGGTCAATGACTACATTATCCAAAGCAATGTTTAATTACCCTGCAATGAATGCCATTGCTGTATCTGAGGAGCTTAAGATTCTTTCTCCATCTATATAAATTAGGCTAAGGAACATAAGGAAGTTATGCTAATTCATCAGCATTCTTTATATGATATTCTGAGTGAAGAAATAACTAACTTGAAGGTCAAGAGAATTGAATAAATAGAGATCCAGAACCCCTGGTTGAAATCTTTCTGCATCATTTTGATAAATCTGGGCCTGTCTCTTCATTGAACTTTCTCTGTCCCTCACTTCTACCTCATATCTCTTGAGGATATTGCTAGAACTATTGCTTATACCCTTAAAGACACCTTTTGCTTTTCAAAAGAAAGATTCTATATAAACTCAAAGTATGAAGGTACACACTTTATTATTTTTTTACTTATATTTTGTTATTAACAAATAATTGGTTTTTTTTTTACTTATATATTGTTATTTTACATCTTTTTTCATTATTTTTACAATCTTTGCTTTCTTTTCTCAGGTGTAGTCCCCATAGAATTTCCACCACCAGTTCACCCATGAACCATCACCATATGACCAAGCAATTCCACATTTTATTATTATTTTAGAGTTGCATTATGGGAGATCAAGTGGAGTTCTTTTATTTTGCTGAGACCATATTTTTCAATCTCCAATGCCAGAAATGACAATATTTTTTTGAACTAGCCTTCTCATTACCATTTTTATAGATTTGTATAAGACCAATCTTTCCTCTACTTCTTTATTTCCCTATGACAATTCACTTGAGGACTTGTCCTTGCTTCTGGATGATTTCACCTACTTGGTTTTTGTTTGTTTGTTTTTTGTTTTTCAAAGAACCATTAGGGATTGTTTTCTTCACTTGTTCAGAGCATCCTTCCACTATGTATCATCCAGTAAGTTTCCTGACCACAGACTTTCACAAATTCCGTGGGAATAGTGGAAGAAATTGATTAGATTTCTGTAAGGGTGAGTCAGTAGCACCAGCTGCCACATGATCACAGATTAAGGACAGAACTGCATTGTAAAACTTTTGCAATGTCCTATTCAGTCTCAGACAGGATTGGCTTGCCCTTTCCTTCCACAACTGAAAAGACAAAAATAAATATTTGATATATCAATTATTTCAAACAGCTTCTCACTGTAACAGAAAGCAGCCCTCTCAGGTGCAGCTCTCACATAAATGAGCAGGAAACTGAGAAGCTAGTGATATTTAGAATTGAATTGTTGAAGTAAGGAGTTTATTTATTTAAAATAATGCATAGTTTTAATTCCTACAAAGTCATTAGAAAAGCATGCACTTTGTAAGAAGATTTAAGTTTAGCCTTGCAATTGATTAGTATTCAATTTTAAGGTTTAATTGGGAGGACTTCCACTAAGTCAAAATGATACAATCATCAGGACCCAGAGTCAGAAAAATGAATGCTTTGATTACATATCAGAAGCTCTACTTCTTTCTTCTTTAGTAGAATAACTTAATTATGAGCCATCCCATCTTCAAACCTGAAAACTCTTGAGATATCAGCTAAAGCTCTTCTTTGGCCATGCCCTGTGCCTTGAAAAGAAAGGAGAAATCAACACCCATGCTTGAAGGAAGGGGAGAAAAACTGGGACCTGAATGATAGGTCTCTATGAAGCTAACAGCCACATACAATGATTTTGAGAGAAAAAAAAATGAATTAATTATAAAACCAAAGTCTCAAAATTAAAGTTAAGAGAAATATATTAAATTTTGTTTGTATTTTTAAAAATCAGAATCATCTCTTATCTTGCTGGGGAATACTTCTCCTATTTCTATTTACTGTATTAGCACTTACTTAGCACTTACCCATTTAATGCTTATTTTGGTTTTGGAAGTTGGACAGAAAACAGCATATTGAATATTAACACATTACTCTGTGTTAATAGCTGTAATATTAGATTAGGTGAGTTAATCTATCGATTGCCTTTAACATGTCCTCTGAATACCTTCAGAAAACCAAGAACTGAACTCAAGTAAAGGCTGTAAGCCAAATTTCCTTGACACAAAAAAATGATATGACACACCATATATCCTTAGTCTATCCTTGAGAGCCTTACTATTCCTACTCATTTTTAATCTGTGAAAGGTGGTGGAAATACTACTTACTAATATACTAATTTTTTAATGTGTCACATTTTCTAGATGCCCAGCCGGTCTATTCTAGCCTCTGATGGTGTATCAGTGCAAGATTTGCACAGTACAATTTATGAAGTTATTCAGCATATCCCTGCCCAACAAGAAGACCATCCAGAGTAAGTATAAACTTGGCTTTGGTGATAGTACTTTGGAAGGGCTCAGCCTTCAACAACTGGTTTTCGCAGAACTTATTGAGAGACTCAAGAAAAATATTAAAATAAGCAATTGCCATTGTTCAACAGTTGAACACACTTCCTCACCTGAATAGAATTTTAAGAACACAAGAGGCAAATGTCTGGGACAAAGCCCTTAGGTCAATCAATAAGATACAGAGTTCTAGACTCTAACATAGCCCACCAGGAATCCACATCTGGGTATGAAAAAATTATGAGCCATTTTGGTTATCTTGGCAATTTCTAGTAGCTAAGGTGGTAGTTTTAGGGTCCTGATGATGTCACTACCAATAGGACCAGGGAAGGAAAAACTCTACAAAATGTACACAGCACAGCTGTCATCAAATGCCCAACTTCTTATAGATCCAGCGCAGTCTACTCCCAAGTGAAGACTACCACAGTGAGGATGAACCCTGATTGTGAGGCCAAAGACAGGAAACCATTTGCCAGTTAACTTCAAGGCTGACAGTAAGGTTTCCCTCCCTTTCCTACCATGAAAATCTAAGCCTATATCCTTCTGAAATAATCAAATGAACTTCCCTTTTTTTGTGGGCTCTCACTGCCGGAAGGCATAACTGCCACAAATCATCTTTCTTCATTTCTTGATTTGTCATTTATTGACTTTGAAAAGAACACCAATAACTATGCACAGGAACTTCCCCTCTGGCAATAGAAAACAGTTCTAACAAAGTAACTCATGCACACCTCTGAGTAAATATAAAAAATGACAGCTAGCATTGGATGACTGCTTGTGAAATCATATTAGGGGAAGGAACCCAGTCCTGGAGTGTGGGGGGGTAAGCACTATTTAAGACCTAAATAAGTAGGAAGAGGACCTCAAGAGATCCCATCAACAGATTCCTTCTTACCCCAGGGATCCCAAAGACACAGGAAACAGCTAAACTAGGAACAGATACTGATAGGGCTTGAAATTTTTAAAAGAAGGGCCTTCCCTGGTGGCACAGCAGGTTAAAGTGCAGCCATATGAAGCTATCTACAGCCACTTCAACATGAGTTAGATCCGGCCAGGGGTGACCCACATGGGTCTCCTGACCAGCCATCTCCTGACCAGCATCTCCTGACCCGCCCTCTGTTCCCCTCAGCAGTGTGCTTCTTCAGTCTGCCTGTTCTGCTCCCCACTCTGTCTCTGGTGAATCCTCTCACTGCCCTGCACCTCTGCCTGTATCCCAGTTCTGTATGCATAAATAAATAAATCTTTTCTTTTAAAGAAAAGAAATTTGTAAAAGAAATTAAAGAATTTTAAAACATTTTATTATTAATCTAGTAGAAGAGAAGAGTGAAATATTATTTCAGGACAATTTTTAAAAAGCTCTAGAATAATACCTAGCCCTCTTTACTTTCTGAAATACAAAATCAAGAGATTTTTATTGTTAAATATACAGAATAGAAAGAATTTTAAGAGTATGTCAGCTTCCTAATTTTAGAATTTTATCCAAAGAAAATTATTTTCTATTTAAGTTCATTTATGCTTTCTATGTGTCCTTTGTTCCAAATAACAATTTTCATCATTAGAATGGAAACAAGCCACATGTAAATGTGTGGCTTTCCTTTCAAAGCTTCCGATAATGAAATAGATGTTGCTTTTAAACCATGGAATACAGCAGCTACAACTTCAGAACACAGTGATTAGTTGCTTTTGCAGGTAAAATAAAATTGATTCTCTAAACTAAAAAATCACCTTCTAAAACTAGACAGCTTTCAGACATAATCAATATCTTTAGAATTTCATAGAAATATTAAATTTTATTTCAGAAATAAACATCGGGGGTTGAAGATAAAGCCAAGTGCTCATTTCAAGCATATAAAGGATTATTCAAAACTACTGTTGAACATGTGTTTCTTGAAAGGGCTGTTAACCCAGGAAACCACTCACACTCCCAACCCCAGTGACACCCCCACTTCCACCCCCCAGTCTTCATGACCTTGCTCTTCTTTCCTGCAAAACTGTCTCCTGAAGTCTTTTTTATTTTGCTTGTGCATCTTTGTCTTCCAGGGATTTCTTCCAGCTCCATTCTTTGATGCCTTTCCTTCCTGAATCTGCCCTCTTTTCTTGTCTTTCACTTTAAGACTGTCTCCTATTATCTCTTCAGTTTTTCCTCCTTTGCTTCTCCTCCAACCCATCCTCAAGGGAAGTCAACATTTTTTTAATATTATTTTCCTTGAATACAAATTTATGTTACATAGTCTAAATCTTAAAAAAAAAAAAGTGTTTTCATTTTGTCAGGAACTGCTTTGCACTTATTTTATTTACAATCAATCCGCAAGCATTTCCAGAACATTAACCACATGCTAAGGATAAAGATTAAAAAAAAGACTTAGTCTTTTAAAGATTTCACAGTTTAGTGGGGCTCCTGTTTGTTTATTTAACTGGCAGTCCTTAGCAGAATAAACATTACTCTATCACTAAATATTGCCCATACATGCAGAGACCATTTTTCTCTTCATTGCCTGTGGCTTTATTCTCTAGGTCCAATTAAAATCAAAGACGAATATTATGAATAATGTAGTATGACAGGTGGTTACTAAATTTCTCACATCCCTTGTTCTTGAGGTGAATATGTCAGCTTTGGGTAAAGAATAGCATTTTACTGCTCTCTTTACTTTTAGTTGACATTTGCTTGTGAGATAGGAAAGGCAGCCAAAAATATTATTTGTTTGCCTCTTAGACTATGTTTTTGTTTCTACATGTGTCTGTTACCTAATTTAACTGGTGTTTAGCAAACTGATAGTTGGTCTGTATGCATATTCTTGTTCCCAAGCCAGTTACTTGTTTATTGATCTTATGATCACATTTATTTAAATACTGCCTGTTGACTTCAGTAAATGCTCTTGTCTGATTTTCTTGAACCCAAGAATGGCTATTCATGTTAAAAACAGGACATATATGTAAGCAACCTTTGGTTTCAAAAGGAAATTATTTACAGAATTTAGTGATTGGTTTCTTTTTTATGCTTATTGGTTTATAAATGCAATTTCCTTGAGCTAGCTCAAAACATCATATGACGCTATGGGAAAGAATAAAATAATTTAAGGTATTTCTGCTTATAGAACTGTGAAATCTATAGGACATTTTCCATATCTTACTACATCTCATCAACAGGGGAGCATTCCTGGACAGAGCAGTGCATTGAAGTGAAATAATGAAGGAACATTTTGAGGGAAACATTGTAAATGTTTATTCATCTGAAATCAGTGATCAATTCCCGTCTGGAGGTGACCCACATGGTGCCACATGGTGTGGCAGACCTATCCTGTCTCGCTCGCTGCTCCCCTCAACAGTATACTTCATCGATCTGCCTGTTTTAATCCCTACTCTGACTTTAGTGAATCCTCTCACTGCCCCTGCACCTCTGGCCTATACCCAGTTCTGTACGCATAAATAAATAAATCTTTTTTTGAAAGTTTGAGCCTTACAATATCCTCACCATACATACACCCACAAGCACCCACACACACATACAAACAGACATACATATTGTAGGGCTAAAAAAAAAAAAAAAAGAAATCAAGTCCAATTCCTCTTCTCATTGTTTCTCTGAAAAGAAGAATAGAATCTTTTATAAAAATTGGATGCAAGTTTCCCCCATATGCATACGACACTGTGTTATAGAGGTGTGTGGAAGGGAAATAAATATCCCTCAGTGGACAGTCTTTACTATCCTGACTGGGAGGAAAAAGGACAAGCCTTTCCAGTCACTCTTTTTGTATCAAGTTTCTCTAAAAAGACCAATTAGTTCTAATCAATACTTTCACTTTCTTCAAAATTGGCACTAATCCTGTCTAAACTACATGTTTGTAAATTTTGTAAAATTTGAACAGACTTTTTATTAAATTCTCATTATTGTTAAGATTGCTGTATTTGTCTTTTAAATTTCTTCCCCAAAGTCCCTTCTTGGTATTTGAATCACTGAATAATAGATGACTTACAAAAGTCTCATGTTTATTTTTATTCAAGGAAAGATAGATTCAAATAATCTGGTTTTGTGTTTATATGGCGTTTTGTTTGTGTTGTCTTATAAATAGTAAATATTTTACACAAGTGAAATTATAGAATTTGATTTTTTAATCCTTATTTCCCAATGTGTAATAAAGTAAAGAGTTTAGAAAATTACTGAAATAAGAATTTGTTCTCTCATGGCCTTTTTTTTTCAGGTTTGAAATTTTTTCTTTATTAAATTGTTGTTTCTGGGAAATGTCTCTCTCCTGGTATGTTGCTCTTAAAAATATCGAAGACCAAGTGGTAGAATTATAATACCATTTTACACACCCCAATGAAAAATGACTCAAATAACAGTGTTCAATAAATAAAAACTGGACTAAAAAGTAGCAGATAAAACAAAAGGGTCAGATTGCTGTGCTCTGAGGAAGATAGGCTGAGGTCTAGAAAAAAGGAGGCGTGTGCAAGGTGCAACAGAGAGCCCTCTGCAGGGTGCAGTGAGATTTCTGGGTGCAATGCTGCTCTTAAACATGAAAGATGAATATTTATATTTGATAATGTTGATGACAAACTGTCCAATCTGATAATGCCACTGCGTTAGAAAATCATTCCAACCAAATAAAGAGAAACGGCTCAAATATCTAACAATAAGGAATTAGCTTATAAATGACATTAGATTAATATAATGGTTCAAATGTGTGGAAATGCAAACAAAAGACTATAAAATAGTTAAAATCATGAGAGTATTGTATTTAAGTGTTTTCATAGCACATACCAAAAAAACTGTATAATTATGAGTTATGGATGTGTTGATTAACTTTATTGTGGTAATCATTTTGCAATGTGTATATGTGTGTTCCAAATCATCTCACTTTAAACTTATGCTATTATATGCTGATTATGTCTCAATAAAGCTAGAAAAATAAAATCACCTGTAATCTTACTACTTAGAAATAACCTATTAGCATTTTCCTAGATTAGTTCTGCATATGTTTATCCATACTATTTCCAGATCCAGACAGGATTTATGGTAGCTTATAAAAATGCATAACAAGATACAATGTGCCCCTCCCAAGTAAAGTTGATAAAACAGGATGAAGAAATATTCAGACTTTATAAAAACAATGTAAACCAGAAATGTCATTAATAACCAGTATGATGAATTCCCCTTCATCTGTGAGTTTTGGGTTATACCATGAAGACCATAAAGTAAATATAGATGTACAATTAAGAGGAACTTAAGGGGCCTTCCCTGGTGATGCAGTGGGTTAAAGCGCAGCACTAAGAAGTTAAAGCCACTTCAGCCTTAGTTCGATCCCCAGCTCCGGAGGTGACCCACATGGCACAGCAGACGTCTCCTGACCCACCTGCTGCTCCCTTCAGCAGTGTACTTCCTCAGTTGCCCTGTTCTGCTCCCCACTCTGTCCCTGGTGAAGCCTCTCACCACCCCTGTACCTCTGGCCTGTATACCCCAGTTTTGTATGAATAAATAAATAAATCTTTAAAAAAAAAAAAAACCAGGTAGTTTTCTCAGTCAGGCATCCACCCCAGGTCAGTTCATCTCTCTCCCCTGCTTTTTTTTTTTTTTAAGATGTATTTATTTATATATACAGAACTGGGGTACAGGCCAGAGGTGCAGGGCAGTGAGAGGATTCACCAGAGATAGAGCGGAAGCAGAACAGGCAGATTGACGAAGTACACTGCTGAGAGAGCAGCGGGCGGGTCAGGAGAGGTCTGTCGCCCCATGTGGTCACCTCTGGGGCAGGCGGGAATAGAACTCATGCTGCAGTGGCTTTAGCTTCTCAGTGTTGTGCTGCACCAGCAGGGAGGGCCACCCCTGCTTTTTCAATCTTGAGCCCCATCCTTCCTTGGGGCTGTTCTCCTTACTTTCATATCTCTACTTACTTGGGGAGTCAGTACTAACTACAAGGAGCTATATCTGCAACGCTTTTTCCCCTTCTTTGACCCAACATTGTAAACTTTAAGCCACACCCAATCTTAAACAACCTTTTCTTACAACTATATTAATACATACATATGATTCACAAGTCAAAGTATTCACCAAAGTAACTGAGTGCAATAGCTTTTGGTTTTGTCTTTGGTTTTTTTGTGTGTGTCCCTCAAGAGTCACTTATCACAAACCAAAGAAAATAAACATACTTTTTAAGAATAATAATTTTCAATCACTCATTTCTGTATCTCTCACAAACACAAATACAGACTTTCTTCCTCAAGCGTGGTTCCACTCAAAGCAGCTAGGAACTGTTGAAGAGAGAAATGTAAAAGGATCTAGAATCCAATTAACTTTTGCTGTCATTGGTGTGTAACACCGATGACTCACTGCTTTTTTAGTAAATGGGGATGAAAATCTCATAAATTAATCAAGATTTCCAAGGGAAGTGATGAGCCAAGTCCCAGATGCTCACCTAATTAACAAATTAATCCTTAAAATCAGCCTAAATTCTTTCCTTGTTATTAAACATAATTGTAGCTGCTGCCAAAATGTTTAACTTGGAATAGAATCCTATTCCAAGTGTCATTATTTTTAAAGAGTATATCCTGATATAGATATTTAAACAAAAAATAAAATACATATAAATTAAACAGTCTCCTTGTCACTCCTGTATTAACAGAACTTCAAATTAAATTATACATATATTTAAATGTCTATGCAGTCCCTCAGTTCTAAAAAGTTGTTTGCCTTTTAAAGTCTTGTTAAAGTGATGAAATGTAGTGACAACATAGTGTCTGGCATATAGGTAGTTATTTTACTATACATTAATTAAAGATGTAACTTTTTAAAAGTTCTTATTTTCTGTTTCTATATGGCTATGTGTCCTTGTGAATCCTACCTCATATTAATATATTCTTCTAAAATTCATGAGTATGTATGTTTTCAGGGGCACAATCAACATAAAAAGAAGCCATTGTGCTGTATTTCCCCATAGCACTCATCACAAGGGCAGATTTTTGTCCAATAACTCTCCCTGCTAGATTGTAAGCTTCCTAGGGCAGGAACTACGGCTACCTTTATTCCAAGTGCCTTCCTACCTCGATGAGTAAAAAATGTTTGATAGAAAAAAATGAAAGTACTTGGATAGGGTCAGATCATGGGTGATCTGCATGTCTAAGGAGTTTAGATTTTGTTCTCTAGGTGAGAAGAAATCAGATCATAGTTCTGTTTGAAATGCATCACTATGTAGAAACTTGGAAATGGATTTTGCAGGACAAGCCTGGAAGAAAATAAGTAATTTTTGAGACTATTGCTTGGTAAGCACTAGATGAGCTATAGGAGGATAATAGAAATAAACATTTTGAAGTAAAGTTTACAAGGGCTTAGTAACTGGATCTGGAAAGTAAAAGAGTTATGTGTAGTTCCTGTGTTTCTTCTTGAAAGCCTGATCATGCCATGTACAGCATGAGAAATGTCTGTAGGGCATTTAGAAAAGGGTAAATGATGGGGTCAGCCTAGTCAAGAGCAGGATAAGTTTAAGATTATAACTAGAGATGCCCAATATGCAATTGTATATCTGAGATGAGAGCTACAGGAGAAGTCTGGATTTAAGAAATAAATTTGAATCTGTTGGAGACCATCTCCAACTATTGAGGTGTCTGGAGGCAAGACAGGCAGGACCCTAAGGTGGGAAGGCGTCGGCGAGTGAAGATTCCTAAAAGGGGGAAAGGGAGAAAAAGAGGAAAGGGGGGCGAGGAAGACACAGGAGTTGGAGTTGGGTGCAAGTCTTCCTGCCCTGCCTTCAGCAGAGGTTTATTTTATACATTAGGAGCAAGCAGTGGGATGACATCAGCACATGAACTGGACTGAGAAATTACAATCATCTATTTTTTTTCTAAGAACAGTTTAGGGTTGTATTGCCCTTTAGCTGAGATATAACATTCCAAAATCAATCAAGGTTAAAAACAGGTACATAGGTGCACAAAGTTTATGACTAATATTACTATAGTGGAGATCAACTAAGATAGAAGTCCCTTAAACCTTATCTACTACTTAATGGGTTTTTGTTTTTCTGCCTGAATCATCCTGGGAGACAGAAGAGGAAATTCCTTGCTAATCAAATCTCTGAATAGGAGACATAAGTGAATTTTCTTTATCTAAAGACTACATAGTAGAATCCTGAAAAACTAGCCAGAAGACTTTTGTGGATTCCTTTAAGGTGTAGCAGGTGGAAAACTTGATTAGTTAAAAAACAGGCAACCTGGATGAATTTCCACATCTAAAGGCCAAACAATAGGAAGTTTGAGTAATTCTTTAAAAAGCTGAATAGAAGGTTAGGTGAGATGATAGAATGATAAGATTTGGG